ATAACAAACATATTTGTTCCCCGAATCTATACACACATTATATTTCCGTAAATATGTTAAGCTACTCATTAGTAGTTAAACTAGCAGTGACTTGAAAACAAGCCACAGAACGTGGCTTCAAATTAGTTTTAAGAAATATTATTCATAGGAAATTAGATAGCTCTGGAATTATATAAAGATGTCCTTAAGAACTTTGCTTTGAAATTGTGCAAGACTACAATCAAAATTGATAACCATGTGACTCACATGTATATGGAGCATCATCTTTGAACAAACACATGTTTACCAGTCTTCTTGTTCATTAAATGGTGTTTATCATTGAATGACATCAAATAAATAACTATAGAGAACCGGAATGGATTTCATTGATAGTCCACCTTATATTAGCGATTTTATGAACAGCCATCACTGAAATTCATTCTTCCTGAAGTCATAAAGTTTATGTCACATTTTATTGATTACGGAAAACCGATATGGCTATGATGTGAACAGAAGAACAAGAGGCCTTGACAAAATACGGAATCCATTTTTGGGAATGTTATTTCATTTCATCCAAAGCGTGTAAAGCATTGGCATTTATTTTTGTCCCTAATCTATTCTACAAAACATAAGCTTTTGCTTGATGTATGATTCACTGCCATAGGCCATTTTGTTCCAAAGCTATTGTAATTGAAACGTGATTATTTTTTACTGTATTTTCTACGTTAATCTCCAGTATTGGACATGATTGTACTTTCTTAATTATTGTACGTTGTGGTCGGGTTAGTCATCTATTTATTCATGTACCTTTTAATCGTTGAATTCATTAGCTGATTGTATTTTGAAAATAGAACTACATATTCAAATCATACTGCTAGATTACACGATATTTCCAAATTTTGAACTTTAGCTTAAATTTCTTGGCTGACTATTAAGAATGTCAAAAAATTAACACATAGAACTTTCTATCCAAATTTTATTGATCAAAGTTACCATACATGTTGAAGACAACAGTAAAATATATGGGAAATAAAACGGGAAAATAATTAGATCTAATATATTCCACTGATTAGTATGAACAACAATGTCCTCAAATGCCCTGGTACGGCTGAATGTGGGAAGAGTCAGCTCTCTATCTCCAAATGCTCTCACATGGCCACGTGCATATAATCACTGACAGGGAAGTCCTACTCACTGCATTCTTGTGGTGTTGTTTGCGAAATTAAGAGGATGAAAAGCGAATGTCGAGAGCTTTGGGCGGGTTGGTGGACACGGAGATTCCATCTAGGGAAGTTGGAAAACCCTAATTCCAAACCAATGGTGCACATGGACTACAGGATTCTGAAAGAACAAATGGCGTATGAACCTATTGTCGGTCACCGGCCACCATAGAACTGCTTCTCCTTACGTCGCTCCACTGCCTTGTGGATTAGACCCTCTAGGTCAAAGGCTCGGGGTGTGGCCCTCTGAGAAAACCACCTGCTTCAGTTTGAGCGCCCTCACACAAATCGAATGATTTGTGTGGCGCATATCTATTTGGTGCCTCCTTGAACTAATGCTAATGTGTTTAAATAAATTAGCATGTGTAAGTTGTTACTTAAAACTATTTTCTGATTATATTAATTCGATAAATGTGGTTCAGTTGATCACACTGTTCAGTTGTAAAGGTACTTACTTATTTACTGGATAAAGAATCAAATATCTCCTACCATAAAGCCATCCTCATAACCTAAATGTTTGGGTTAAACTAAAAACCTAAATGTTTATAGTTGTAGCTTTTTACCAAGCAAAGTTTATTAACCTTCCCGTTTATCGAACAAAGCATGAAGAAAATCGATTAGCTAAACCATCAGACTATAAGTTCCATAGATTATTTATAGGTTAATCTGATCATTATTGATTTTGCACATTTTTCTACATTAACTTTTCATGGTCAGTAGGTTAATTCGGCTAGGATACACGTGTATCACGTATGGCCATCTTAACCAAACAAAGCAAGAAGAAAAACACGTTATAAAAGGCTGGCTGATTAATGGGACGTGCAGTAATCCATATAACTCACCAACTGACTCAATTGATTTATTCGTGATGATCTTTGTTCGATATAACTAATCTAATTATGACCGTCTACCAACTATTGTGATGAACGCTTTGATCTATGATATTAGAAATGAAAATAAGGAAGTTAAATGCAATAATGAATTGGCAAAATAATACTCTGCCATGCAGATGAATGCTATCTAATCGATTTGTGTAGAGGTATTAGTTTTAAAGTATACTAGCAATTAAGGGCTAGACTATAATTTATGGATGAACTTTGAACGAATCTTGAGTGAACTTGAGATATATTAGTCAATCAGAAAACAGTCAGTGTACAGTAAAAATAATTACAGTGGATGCATTTCTTTTACACGGTTCAAAAACTTGTCAAGGTTAGAACGAGGTTTAGAGGTTCTAACTTTGTAATGCATAGGTTAGAGGAAATCATCTATACGGCTACATAATAGTTGGCCTCCAGAGCCATGATAATGTTGCAAAATTTCTTTCAGCCTCTACATCATAGCTCCAATATATTTTGTGTGCACTCCAGTTGTGTAAGCTTATTTTTATTACGCATATATCTCTACAATACTCATACCACTTAACAGCCGAAGCTTCAGTAAAATCTGGAAATGTTGCAGACAATGTTACTGGTGCTTTTGTTATACGGATCGTAACTAACCTGCTTTAGTCTCAATCTGGATCAAGGGGAAAAATTTTCTATTCTAGCAGAACTTCCTAATACTCCCATTTGTTGTACCCGCTCAATGATCCGCTATGAACCGATCGTACGTGAGCATTAGGTATTGAGATCGGCGACGTGTACTTGAAATCCATCAAACGCTTCTGATTAGCTAGTCCATAAATTATATTCTCCCCACAAGAAGTCTTTGACGTTACTTAATACATTATCTTCAAAACTGATTTACTAATAAAAAACTTGTCAACCAAGTAGTATAAGATCTGGAATAATATTGAGTAAAGTAACTCAGTTTTACAATGTTTGTTTCAGTTTGTAACATATTTATACAAGTCCGTTTACCTTCAATTACTGCTTTTCGGAATCATAATAACAAATTTAAATGGAGAGTTTTATTCGAGTTCGGAAACAGTGTCACAAAGAAAAGAAATACCTAACATATTAGGATAGAATAAGGTCGACTAATGACAAATACTCTGTACATTTAAAATTAATGGCCAAGATATTTGAATACCATGTACATATCTGTTAACGAAATTAAGACAGATTTATTGTGTGATAACTCAAGGAAACTAATTGCTTACCCTTCATATTATCAATCAATTAAAAAATCTCGTTGCTAAACAGTTTAGAGTTGATTGACTATATCACTGAGTCACAAATCCAACAAATGTATCAGAACTTAATGTTCAATAATAACAATAATTTGAATTTAAATATGATGATTAGTTCACACAACGAACACGCTAAGTGTGAAGTATGCTACATATGTTTGCAAATATAAGTAGTATGTAGCATAACCGCAATAGTACTCTGTAATAGCAAATAAGTAGGCCAATAAAACCACTCACCTCAGAGATGAAACAACAATAACTTCGCTCGGTGTAAAACAGCTATACGTATATCATCGATTGATTCTGTAAATATATACAGGTTTTTCGTTGACATTATCAGATCATTTACTTGTTCAAAACTCAAACACTATCGACCTCGAATTGACTATAATAGAAAATACGATGTAATGGAAATTTCTCGGATGCAATATTAGATTATCGACTATCAAGCTTATTATACAATATTTCTGATGTCTCCTGTTAGAGATAAAGCGATCTCGATTATTCCGTGTGAAGTCTAAGTTAACACAAGTAATTAGTCCGATATACATGGATCGACCTACTTGTTTCAAATGAAGGAATTTAACACATCCCATGGTACTATGAAAGAGAATAGAGCATTTTGCAATTGAGTTCATTTTATGTTTGAAAATAATTTCCGTTTATAATTCAGTAGCAAGGCTTTGGATTTTCATGTTGTTGACGTTAAGGATTGCAACTTATCAATCTGTTTTGTTATGTGATACGTGAACGGTTCACCTAGATATTGCTATCAGTCGCAAGCATTTCTTATGTGAAGTTGGATGATAGGAGTAGTAGTGGAATCCACGTCACACGCTTTGTCCTTCCTGAGACTCGTCAGTTGAATGTAAACTACTATTCGGTTTTTAGTCATATCGAATCCTAAACATGTTATTCGTGTTTTTAGTTTAAAAACTCATTACTTGACGGTTAATGTAAATTAATATTGCCCATATTATATAATCGACAATACGTTGAACGAAACAAACTCCACCTATTACTTAGTGTCTACAAAAGGCATAAACAGCCATGTAGTGTGAAAATACATCGTTCGGTTAAACAAAATCATTGTAACAACAAACGCTGATTTTTTTCACATCCACACACATACATTGTCTCACCTTTAATTTGAATAACATGACATTAACATGATCCGAATTGTTTTAATTGTAATAATAAATATTTTCGCCTCTTCCTCTGTATTATATGAACTTAAGTGAAGTTAACTAGGTTATTTATTCACTTGCTCACTAATGAAACGATTTGCATTAACACGTCAAAAATTCAATTTTATACTCAGCTGGACATTACAAATAGATTCAATTGACTCATGGTCTCACAAAAACTCCTTCTGATATTAATCAACATATGCTCACTAGTGACTGACTTCAAGACGTATTTCATGGAGTTCTAATGAAGCAGGGACCAGTGGAGTACAACCGGGTTTGTTGTGAGATATTAACTCACTGAAGACAATGATGGATTGGTTGAAGTTAAACATTAAAACCATTGGATGCCAGTCAGCTCAGTGGTCTACAGGTTAAGTGTCCGCGCGAGAGACTGATAGGTCCTGGGTTCGAATGTCACAAAGCGGCGGGATCGTGGATGAAACGGCCGTTCAAGTTTTCCATGGTAACTCATGATCTCAACTATTGAAATACATTATTATTATAAGCAATCCACCTAATACACAATTTATTTGAAATTATCAAATCAAACCCTGGTATCGATACTTACAAAACACACACACCCACAAACACACAATCCTGTGATATCAAAACAAATTTATTTGAAAGCGATGTCGAAGAATTCGACGAAGCTAATAGTTACATCAAAATACAATAGATTAACAGGAAACAAGAGAACCAAGAAAAAACCTCAAAGGAACAGACTGGAAGAAGAATTCGATCAAACGAAATCAAACAAGATCACAGTTTATGCATCGGTATTAAACACAGGTCATTTTTTGACCCTTTTTTTACACGATACATGCATAATGATATACCACTCGATAGTTTCTCTATAAATTCTTATCCAAAACAAACATGGTTTTTATACACAAATGAAAACAAAATATGGAGAATGAATATTGAACAAAATTAATTAGATGTAGTATAACCTGTAAGAGAACAAGAAATCGATTGAATAATTAAAAGTTAATTTTATGAAGTATATAGTATAGTATATGCAAATGTATACAGGTTATGTGGACAATCGTTTCACTTTGTTGTTTCTACTGAGCTTAGTTTATAAGTTAGGTCATTGTTTTCGTACTTTTCCTCATATTCGATAGTGATCTTATTTAAATATGAATGAGAGCTGATGGTATAGTTATGAGATGAAACTATTATGTAATATGAGTAGCCTATTGAAGTAATCATTTCTATAGCTTACGTGAGTTTCATGCATACTACGATTAAAAAAGGATATGTTCTCAATAGTAAGAATTTATTGAATGCTTAGTATAACCGTTGATTAATTTGATTCTGAACCAGCAATGTTCCAATTTATAACCTTGATTCAACTACTACCGTCTCAGTAGTTGGGTAGTATATCAGTTATTCGAAATTCAATATCAGAAGGGGTTTTTGTGCATATTATAGTAATTTCAATAGTTGAGATTATGAGTCAATTGAACCTGGACCACCACGGAAAACCTATTGTGGAACTCCTCAGCAGTGCGCATCCATGATCCCACCGCCAGTGGAGTTCAACCGAGTCTGTTGTGAGATAGTAACTCACTGAAGAAAATGGTAGATCCGTCGATCAATTTCGTGGATTAGTTGAAATTAGACATTAACAACATTCGATGCCGGCAAGTTCGGTGGTTTAGAGGTTAGGCGCTCGCGCGCGAAACTAATAAGTCCCGGGTTTGAGTCTCGCGAGGCGAGATCGTGGATGCGTACTGCTGAGGAGCTCCATACTATGACGAATCGGCCGTCCAGTGCTTCCAGGTTTTCCATAGGTGTCTAGCTTCAATCGACTCATGATCTCAGTTTGTGCATTAATTAGATAAAGTAAAGATATTTAAACTTTCTTCATTAATGAGTGGAAAAAAAAACCAGGACACTTATATCTGACTAACTTTAAGGTAATTAATGCTTAAGTGCATAATGATTGGTAGCTCAGTTTGTGTATTTATTGGAAAGAGCAATATATCTATTAATGGGATTCATTCTATACGTTTCACTATAAAGCTTTACATTGGAAACTTAATAAGTAAACTATGTTGCATTAAAAGATGTTAACTAGTCAAATGACAGTAACTGAATACAATAAATGATTTAGTCTCAATCAAGATTGTGATTTTAAAAATAATCACTTTTCAGTTCCCTAATAATCGATAGCCATTTAACTAGAGAATCATTAAATACGCGATACTTAATAAATGTAAATAATAAAACATACCAGGAAATATGTTAAGTGAAATGTTTGGATGAACCTTTACTAGGTGTATTGAGTCGGCCACGGTTATTCAGACGAGATTTCCCTGAAGCTCGATGGTGAATCCGACGACGTGTACGCGATAGATGTGGTAGATTTTCAGGAGGTAGTACACGATAAATTCTTACAAGCCAATGTTTCGATGTAAAAGCTTCCTCTAAGTAATCTAATTCAAAATTTTTACGACCAATTTCAGATCCTCTAGTACGATCAAATCCAAGTGGTGTTCGCATATCTAAACGAACTTCACCAAACCGATAATAGCTTAATTTATACATTAAACAATTAAGCATCGTCTCAGAAGCACTTTTATCTATACGATAATCACCCTAAAAAGAAAAAGAAAACAAAAAACCAACATAGCCATTGAATTATGATCAAACAGGCAGGGTTAAAATTTAGAACTTTCTTAGTAAATATGGGTCAATGGGTTTTACTGAAAGACTCCCATGATACGGCAAAACAATAAAACGATCACTACAAGCCCGACGGAAATACATTCAACTTTTCCCAGAGGGTAGTATTGTCAAAGTTAGAATTACTGTGGTAACATCTTTCAGATAAGGTGACGTAATAAGTTATGAATAATTGCACTATCTCATCATTGAATTTATAACCAGTAAGTGGTTCAGAATATACTATATAAAAGTTTATAACACTGGCAACCGCCCCTCTGGAGTTACTGATATTCCCTAACCTGGGTAAAGAACGACTGTGGGTAGCGTTAGCAATTCCAGCTCATAAACAAGAACCTCGCTAAAAGAAACACCAGCCAGAGTGAAGCAATTAAACTTTTCCCTGAGAGACGAAGGGTCTGCATATGGAACGGTTATAACGGCTTATATTTGAAGCCAGAAGTCACCAGGCCGACGACCCTTCTAAGTGTCAGAGCAACAATAAATGCAGAGAAATAGAATATCCCAACAGTGTGGAAGACCGAGAGGGTCATTCAAACAGTCACAAGCATGAGAAGACACAACTTCGAAGTAAAAGAAAGGGACCTGGGACAAAGAAAACATGAGTTTAGGAAATGGAGGCAGATATTAGGACCATGAATAGCATTCGACAACAACTAGAAAGGAGAGCTCAAGATAGAGTTGTTTGGAGATGACTGCTCGACGGATTACGCTACAAGAAAAGTAAGTAAAGTAGAATAAGTTTATACCTAACCAACTATTGTTGGGAGAGAAGCATAGATCCATGTTTCGACCATTTGCATAACTTGATGGAGAGACAAATAGACTTATTATCTGGTGCAGACTAATCAAGGTCCTCATGGATTTCCAAATGTTTAAAAAATGTTTTGGTATATCAAACCGATTTACTTATGTCAACCAGCCAATCAGTCAACCTGAAGTATTCACTTAAAGGGAGAATCACCAATATCACATGTGGCTTCCACTTTACAACTAGCTTGTTATATGACGATTCTTCACAATATATAATAACGTAGAGTAGCGTATATTATGATTGTCTTTACCGTATGTAAAAGCTAACAACTTACTGTTGAAGTTAGAAAGTCTCTTTCACGAATTTCATTAGGATGTTCACCGCCACCAATACGCACCATCCATAAGAATTTATTAATATCATCACCACTGTAACCAATGTAACCACCGAATATGACCAGCACGTAATCCACATCTAAACTTTGAATAGTCTAAAGGAAAACCACGTAACAGGGAAAGAAGTAAAAGAAAAACGGTATTAATCACACATAATAAAACCAGCACAGCATGTGAATTCATGACTAAAGATTTGATTAATATGGACAAAGTGCTTCTTGAAACTATGGACTCGTACAGTTTTTGAAGAACTATGGAAGTGAAAAACAACAATCGTCTTAGTCATAGACATTTAAATTATGATATATTTGGCAAAAACAGATCTTAAATATTTCTAGATCTTTAGATAAATAACTTATTATACATCGGTCAAGAGCATTTGTAAATTTTGAATAGGAAATCTCTCTTAAACGATTAACTAATATAGGTGTCATTACCAAGGTTTGATTTGATAATTTCGAATAAATTGAGCATTGGGTTGATTGTTATAAATAAAAATAATATATTTGTAATATCCCAATGAGTAGAAAATTGGATTTTCTGACGTTTCGTAACTTAGTGTAAGTCACTTCTTCAGAGAGTAAATAACCAAATTAAAATTAATCCAAGTTTAAATAGTACAACGGAACAATGCAAGAATAATAATATGTGATCAATTAAAGAACAGATCTAACTAAGTTAATGTCATGTTATTTCGGTCAAGGTGATTCACAAGTGATATGTATGTAAATAAGTGTGTGTATGTATGTGTGCATTGTTTAAGAATGAAACATTGTGTGACATTTATAGTGAGAAAGGATAGAATTTATTAATTTGTGAGATGACAGTGTGAATTGCAAATAAGGTCAGACTGAATGGCTAGGATAGATAGTCCAAGTAGGATTAAGCATTATATGGAACGCTTCAGCTACTCTCCTTTCGTTGTAATTGGAAAAGCCTTTTTGTAATATTTTGATATTTTTAAAACCAATTTCGTGGTCGTTGAAAATGGCATGAACTGCTATTGCCGATTTAATTTGAAGTTGGTTCAATTCTGCGGGATTGTTAGGAGGTTTCTTTGTGTACCTAGTATGCTCTTTGGCTTTAGTCAAGATTTCTCGAGAAGACTCTCCAATATAGAAGGCATCACAATCGATACAACCTGATTTGTAGACTCAGTTCTGTATGGACATGAAAGGGATTTTGTCTTTCAGGCGAACTAAAGAAAGAAGGGTAGCTGAGGCGTTCCATATAATGCTTAATCCTACTTCTCTCAATAGAAAGGAAGGTCTTACTATACATCCTACTTGGACCATCTATCCTAGCCATTCAGTCTGATCGTATTTACAATTTCACACTATCATATTACAAATTTAAACTCTATCCTTTCTCACTATAAATATCACACAATGTTTCGTTCTTAAACAATGCACATATACATACACACACAAATTCACATGCATATAACCTATGAATCTCCCTGACCGAAATGACATGACATCAACTTGTTCAGACCTGTTTTTTTTGATTGATCAAATATTATTCTTGCATTGTTCCGTTGTACTATTTAAACTTGGATTAATTTTAATTTGGTTATTTATTCTCTGAAGAAGTGACTTACACTAAGTTACGAAACGTCAGAAAATCCAATTTTCTACTCATTGGGATATTACAAATATATGATTTATTTATTTATGATTAGCTAATATGATGATAAGACTGTAATATCTATCGATAAATAATAAAAAAGATATTTAACCGAGAATTATTGATTGAAAATAGAAGATAAAAGACTACTGAATGTGACATTTATCACAGTATTTATAATTTCTGGATTTGATAGACGGAATTCGAAGTACAGCAGTGATATGAAATTTTACACTAGATGATACGGTAGTTGACCTGTACTAAGTTCTTAATGGCCAATTAAAACGAGAGAAAAAACCAACAACTCATTGATTGTCAACAACACAAATTTATTATTTACATTTAACAGTATATTTTTGCGTAATTCTTTCACCCAAAATGTGATCATGTTGAATACGTCCACCAAACAGAAAGAAAAAATTGAGTTTAATTACTCAACTTACTTTATAGGCTTCTGATTCATTTGATGCCATAGCTTTACCAACTAATGCGATATGACTATTATTCCATGTGTTATTATCAACTAGAGTAGTGCGGTTACCCATTCCTGCTATTTGATATCCATAATCCCACCATGACATAACTCGAGCATTTTCTTTTGTATTTTGCCATAACCAGAAATAAGCCTCACTAATAATATAAGAGAAAAAATTTATTATTGTTGACGATTAAAAATATATATATCTGTGGGATTGTTCGGTACTTGAACATCGAAGGGTGAGTGGTAAGTTCTAAATATTGCTTACACAACCAAGCAGTATTAAGTATCATTAAGTGACTGTGAATACACTGTGAATACAACTTATACGTAACTAATTAGTTCCTTTTTTTACTGTACTATTTTGGTAGTTATAAAATGTAATAGATGAATTCATGAATAAAAAATTACCAAAAGTTTCAATCAAGTTTTAAAAATGTACCCGCTTATATGCCAAATTTTGATTAGCCTTAAAGTTAAGTATACCTTTTAGAATAATATAACACTTTGAAATTGTGTTAAAATCACTAGTTGTAGAAAGGTGTTATTCATTTAGGGTGTGATTAAACGAACGATTCAAGTGTACTGCAATGTTATAAGATTTATCATTAAATGTTGTTTCGTGAAGTTTTATTGTTGAATAATGGATTATTTAAAAAAGTTATATTTCATTGTGAAGCTGTAATGAAGACCTGTTATCAACAACATGATATGAATAACTTTAATTTATATCCTATAATTCAACCATAAAATTCGACCCCAAATGCCCTGGTATGGCCGAGTTTCGGAAGAGTCAGCTCTCCTTATCCAAATACTCTCAAGTGGCCACTTGCACATAACCACTGACAGGGAAGTTCTACTCACTGCATTCTTGTGGTGTGTGTGCAAAATTAAGAGGATGATCAGCGCTTTAACTAGGTTTGTGGACACGGAGATCCCACCTAGGAGAGTTGGAAAACCCTGATTCCAAACCAATGGTGCACATGGACTACAGGATTCTGAAAGAACAAATGGCGTATGAACCCATTGTCGATCACCAGCTACCATGGAACTGCATCTCCCAACGTCGCTCTGTAGTGAACAAGAACACGGGTGGGGACAATCGATTGTATTTAACACAAAGATTACAGACTATCTCAATAAAATGTGAATACCATAAAGTCAATCGTCAATTTGCAAAATATCATTCCATCATATCAAACTGTACTGTTCCCGTTGCAAACACTAATCCATTGTCTCCCATTCCATTGTACATGTGTTTTCTTACAATTCCATTGTGCTCTTGCTCTTCCTTTCTTGATCTTCGCCATCTTCTGCTGCCGGACCTTACGTTTATTAAACGCACGTAATATACTACTTATATGAATATAAGTAGCTCACACCACAGCTCCACCGCCTTGTGGATTAGACCTCTAGGTAAAAGGCTCGTGGTGTGGCCTCCTGAGAAAACGACCTGCTTCAGTTTCGGCGCCCTCACGCAAATCAAATGATTTATGTGGCGCATATCTATTTGGCCCAGGACAGAGTGAGTTGGAGAATGCTGGTCAGCGGCCTATGCTCCATTGGGAGTAACAGAAGTAAGTAAGTAAGTAAGTAAGTAAGTAAGTAAGTAAGTAAGTAAGTAAGTAAGTAAGTAAGTAAGTAAGTAAGTAAGTAAGTAGGTAAGTAAGTAAGTAAGTAAGTAAGTAAGTAAGTAAGTAAGTAAGTAAGTAAGTAAGTAAGTAAGTAAGTAAGTAAGTAAGTAAGTAAGTAAGTAAGTAAGTAAGTAAGTAAGTAAGTAAGTAAGTAAGTAAGTAAGTAAGTAAGTAAGTAAGTAAGTAAGTAAGTAAGTAAGTAAGTAAGTAAGTAAGTAAGTAAGTAAGTAAGTAAGTAAGTAAGTAAGTAAGTAAGTAAGTAAGTAAGTAAGTAAGTAAGTAAGTAAGTAAGTAAGTAAGTAAGTAAGTAAGTAAGTAAGTAAGTAAGTAAGTAAGTAAGTAAGTAAGTAAGTAAGTAAGTAAGTAAGTAAGTAAGTAAGTAAGTAAGTAAGTAAGTAAGTAAGTAAGTAAGTAAGTAAGTAAGTAAGTAAGTAAGTAAGTAAGTAAGTAAGTAAGTAAGTAAGTAAGTAAGTAAGTAAGTAAGTAAGTAAGTAAGTAAGTAAGTAAGTAAGTAAGTAAGTAAGTAAGTAAGTAAGTAAGTAAGTAAGTAAGTAAGTAAGTAAGTAAGTAAGTAAGTAAGTAAGTAAGTAAGTAAGTAAGTAAGTAAGTAAGTAAGTAAGTAAGTAAGTAAGTAAGTAAGTAAGTAAGTAAGTAAGTAAGTAAGTAAGTAAGTAAGTAAGTAAGTAAGTAAGTAAGTAAGTAAGTAAGTAAGTAAGTAAGTAAGTAAGTAAGTAAGTAAGTAAGTAAGTAAGTAAGTAAGTAAGTAAGTAAGTAAGTAAGTAAGTAAGTAAGTAAGTAAGTAAGTAAGTAAGTAAGTAAGTAAGTAAGTAAGTAAGTAAGTAAGTAAGTAAGTAAGTAAGTAAGTAAGTAATATCTATTTGGTGCCTCCTTGAACCAATGTTTATGTGTTTAAATAATAATATCGATAAAATTGATACAAACGAATTATAATGATTGAAACGCTTTTTACTTGAAAACTAGGAGCTACCCATGGAAAAACACACAAAAATAATAGAAGCTAGTATGTATAGATTTATCTGTTAATGGATTGTACTTCACGATCGCTCAACCATTTATTAAACCATTAGTGTTTCTATTGAAAGACATCAAAAATCCAGACATATTCTATTGTTTTTATGTGAACGACATCGATTAGTTGAAATTCTAATCATATTAGAATGTATCTCGGTAGAAATAACCAACGATTATCCCAAAAGAATACAATACAATACCCTACTGTATGATGATATGTAACTCGTCTTTGTGTATGTTAGCTTGGATAAGAAATGAATGTCGGCAAAATATTTACTGGATACTTTTTAGGTAGTATAAGCTATTGAACAAAATTTTATTTTTGAAATTTTGGCGTGATCGTAGTGACTGCTTTTAGGCACTTTGTGAAATGAGTTGTAATATTTTCTGTTGCATCCATTTGATCCCAGTAGTGCTAGTTGACTGTCCTTTGCACTTTTAAAATAATGAACCTCAACTTGGTGTCTAAAATAATGAAGTTTTCAAATGGATACAAAAAGCTTCGTTACATTCATCAGTGAAATATGTGGTGGGTTTAGAAATTCACTATATTCTTTTACATCAGATCGTAAGGTTAAACGATAGATGAAAACAAAGTATTTTATTATTAACAGATAAGCTTACTTGCATAATTAACTCTGGTAAAATAAGTGGACTAAATAACAGAGCTATACATATAAAAGATGTTGGTGACATTACTTACCGGAAATCATCCAGGATATATCGAGATCCATCTTTACCATATGAAGCCAACACAATAGACGGGCTTGAATAAGCATTGGATGACACCCAAACACAATGTGAAACAAACAGATATAGAATGAATATAATCAAAACGTAGGCGACTGCACGCATATTACTCCCATTGTTTCCTGATGATTGTTGCTTTGACTGACTACCAATGGTGGTACTTGTTGGCGTGTCTTGACTAGGATAGTTCACCTAATAATATGAAAGGGTACATACACCGAGATGTGGTATACTTTTTTTAAAACACTAAACGCGCATTATTCATAACAAGAAAATTAGTACTCATTATGTCCATCACAAAAATACTTCACGCAGAATTAGAATAGTTTTTCTTAGAAATAACTTGATACTGAGGATGAGTACAGTACCCATAAAATATTAGTAACAGGTAGTACATGAGCCAACAATTAATGTTCTCAAATACAGCATGAGATTTGTAACACTCGCGGCTTATTTATTTTAACACATAGATATTGGTAAAAGGAGGCACCAAACACATATGCACCACACAAATCTCATTCGATATGTGTGAGGGTTGTGATACTGCCTGGGTGCCCAAACCGAAGCAGGTGGTTTTCTTAGGGGGGCCACTCTCCGAGCCTTCGACCTGAAGGTCTGATCCACAAGGCAGTGGATCAGCGTAAGGAGATGCAATCCCATGGAAGCCGGTGACCAACAATTGGTTCATACGCCATTTGTTCCCGCAGGATACTGGAGCCCATGTGCACCATTGGTTTGGAATCCGGTTAAAGCGCCGGACATTCGCTTTTCGACCTGTCATTTTTGTAAACAACACCCCTGTCACGAGAAGGCAGTGAGTAGGACTTCCCTGGTAGAAGCTATATACACGTGACCATGTGAGAGCATTTGGAGAGGGAGAGCGGACTCTCCCCACTCCCGGCCATACCAGGGCGTTTGGGGGCATGTATTAGATATGTCTGTTCACCGCCTATCATGATGTGCTGGTTAACGTAAAAGTGGTCCGAGGAACAGTTAGAAAAATTAGACAGCATTCGCAAATGATGTCAACACTTATCACCTAAGCCCTGTGCGAAAGTGTAAGCTTTCTGGTTAAGAATCGTAAAGGCCCCTAGTGAAATGATAGAGGAGCAGATGTATTCACTTTCTAACCTGCTTAAGTTTGGGCACCCGGGCAGTATCACAGCTCACACACAAATCAAGTGCCTTGTGTGGCGCACATGTATTCGATGCCCCTTTGTACCAATATTTATGTGTTTAAGTAAATGAATAATAAATAAAACTTGGTTTAGGGATTGCTGGTTTAAGTATCAATTTTGAAGGTTTAACTGTTTTATGTATACCATCTTACTGAAAACAAGAAGTCTTAGTATAAAACACTGTAAGATTACTGGTGGACATTGCCCGTATAAACGCCAAAACAATCCTAATGGTTAGGAAGACTTCTTTGAATATAAGACTCGATGATTATTTACTTTATTCCCAATAATTTTGATTGTCCTTTTTCTGTTTTATCTAGACTGGTTTATTGAACATGCCCATATATTTAAAAAATGAGCATATTCAATGAACCAGTCTAGATAAAACAGAAAAAGGACAATTAAATAGCCCCCAAACGTCCTAGTACAACCGAGTGGGAAAATTCAGCTATCCCTCTCCAAATGCTCTCACATGGCCGCATGCATACGACCACTGACAGGGAAGTCCTACTCACTGTATTCTCATGGCGCGGGTATTGTTTACGAAATTGATAGGATGAAAAGCCAATGTCCGGTGCTTTAACCGGATTGGTGAATATAAAGGATCCACCTGGGGGCGTTAGAAAACCCTCATTCCAAACCAATAGTGAATATGGGCTCCGGGATCCTAAGGAAACAAATTACGTATGAACATATTATTGGTCATCGGCTACCATGTGACTACTTCTCCTAACGCCGCTCCACTGCATTGTGAATTAGACCTCCAGATCGAAGGCTCTAGGTGTGGCTCCCTAAGGAAACCACCTGTTTCGGTTTGGGCGCCCAGACAGTATCCAAGCCCTCACACAAATCGAATGATTTATGTGGCGCATATCTGTTTGGTAACTCCCTGTACCAATGTTTGTGTGTTTCAATAAATAAATAAATAAAATTGTTTAAATAAATGGAAGTCAATAAAGATATGTATATTATTACACTAGAAATATTTTTATTGATTTCTTAAATTACCTTTTTATTTGCCTTGTTCGGTTTATCATACAAACGTTTATCAACAGAATTCTGTTCATTATTAGATTGATTTGTCGCAACATTAATTTCATTATCTTGTTCATTTAAGAATAATTCAAAGACACGTGAAAATGCAATAGCAGAAAACACACATACAATTGGTGTTAATGTAAGCATAAGACGAACCATAACACCAGCAAAATATGATGCAAATATTGCATAGAGAATAACAAAAACACGTTCATCATTTAAATTGTTAAAGCAAAGTCTAACACCAGCTGGAAATGTAGCAATTAATACATGAAGATCAAAAAAGAAAGATGCCCATGAAGTTGGTTGATGCTCAGAAACGGATGTTATAATTGGAATATGTATCTTAGCATAACCGGTATCCCAAAGAGAATAAAACCTGAATAATTTAAATAAGAATTAAAATCCATGATAATTTTTTTTGAGATTTTCTGTTTAAACTTAACAGCAGTTGAATAAATACTGAAAAACCAAATGTTACCAAACAATATTTCACTACAATTTATGACTATGGAAACCCCGAGTTACGAAATTTCATAAAGTCATGTTGGGTATTTTATAGCTCAGGAGCGTGTATATAATAAACCTACAAATATCCTGCCTAACGGTGTGGAAATTTAGTTCTCCATCAAAAAATCCCTTTACAATCCCATGCATTTATAGCTCGTGCAAAAGATGCCCTTCTTACTGCTTTCACGTTGAGACTTATTTGTAAGATGATAAATGTTACTACCTGCCACCCCTAAATTCCCTGGTACAACCAAGAGCGGAGAGAGTCAGCTCTCCCTCTCGAAATGCTCTCATATGGCCACGCGTATACAGTCACTGTCAGAGAAGTCCTTTACGCGTTGTGGGTGTTGTTTACGAAATTGAGAAGACGAAAAGTGAACGTCCAGCGCTTTAACCAGTTTAATGAATACGGAGGAACCAACTAGAGGAGTTGGAAAACCTTGATTCCAATGGTCCACATGGGCTCCAGGATCCTGAGGGAACAAATGCCTTGTGAAGCTATTGTTGGTCACCGGCTACCATAAAACTGTATCGCATAACGTTGCTCCACTGCATTGTGGACTAGACCTTAAGGTCAAAGACTCGGGGTGTGGCCCTCTAAAAAAACCGCCTGCTTTAGTTTGGTCACCCAGGTAGCATCCAAGCCCTCACACAAATCATATCTGTGTAGCGCATATCTGTTTGGTGCCTCCTTGTACCAATGCTTATGTGTGTAAAGTCAGTCAGTCAGTAACAACGTATAACTGTACGTACGTACATCAGTTCGAGTAAAGAAAAATAATAATTTCTTTGTTATTACCTGCCACTCCATGGTGCAATAACGCCAGCATATGTTAGCCCAACTACAACAACAAATATAACTCCAGCAGAAAAAATGGCACCAAATGTAAATAATTGCTTCAGCGTATCAGAGGGAACACGGGTTTGTAGATATTTGAAAAAAGCAACAACCTGCAAATAAAGACAAGTTATTTTGACCATAATATTAGATATGATGATTAAAATTGCTTAACACATCATCACCATACTTGAGAATGTAGCGTCACTTCTAACCAACTAATAATATACCTCTGCATTGCTGTACACTTTATATATACAAGATAAACTTCAGGATTGGTATACATTGGGATCAGATACAACAACTACCTGAAAACGTAAAACTGTCTTGTTTCTCAAGCCGAAATTCAGTGTTTATATATCTATATCTAGATCAAAACCAGAAAATAAACGCATATGATCAACAAATGCATCTGGGTTAGCAGGACGAAACAATTATATATTATTCACCAAGTATACGTTAAGATACTCGTCTTTGAGTCACACTGTGAGGAATAGAAGTACTACCTGGTTGCCCGAACCAAAGTAGACATTCGGAGTTTACAACTGAGACCTAGTAGATGAAAATCAAGCGCAAAGCGTTAGACAAGAAAGACAGTCCATACAGTGGTTTTAATATGGATTAACTGAGACTGATAGGTTATTTATTTTAAATATTGGGCTGAAATTTGCCTTTAATTTTCATCGCTGACTTGAGTAGTAGTGAATTAGTAACCAGACAACTTTATAAATTTGAAAGCAGCATTTGACTCAGTAGACCGCGAGACTCTGTGGCAGTGTCTGTCATTGAAAGGCGTACCTTAGAAGTACATATACCTTGTGAAGGCTCTTTACTCGAACACTACCAATCGAGTCAGAGCTTATGGCGAACTGTCATCTGCTTTTGCAACCTCAAGTGGTGTTCGTAAAGGCTGTCCACTTTCTCCATTTTTGTTTAACTTCATCATAGACCTACTGATGGAAATAACATTCTCGTCTACTGAATTCTCGGGTATTGATCTCCTACTAGGAGGTTCACTTATCGACTTAGAATACGCGGATGACATAGTCCTGTTTGGTGAAGACGCTGATAAAATGCAGAGTCTTCTGGTAGCACTAAGCAACAATGCCAGAATGTTTTTTGTATGCGCTTCTCTCCCTCTAAATGCAAGTTGTTACTTCAGGACTGGTCTGCGTCAACATCTGAACGAAGGATAGGGAGTGAAGTAATCGAACGCGTTGACAACTTCACTTATCTTGGAAGTCTGATAAGCCCTAATCGGTTAGTGTCTGACGAAATCTCAGCACGGATTCGAAAAGCTCGCTTGGCTTTTGCCAACTTACGTCACCTATGGCGAAGGCGAGATATCCGTCTATCAATAAAAGGACGAGTATACTGCGCGGCAGCTCGTTCTGTTTTTATTTACGGCTGCGAAACATGGCCATTAAGAGTAGAAGACACCCGTAAGCTACTAGTATTTGACCACAGATGCCTTAGAAATATTGCTGGCGTTTATTGGGATCACCGGATAAGTAATAGTGAGGTTAGACGCAGGGTATTAGGGAATGGTGGTAAATCATTTGATGAAGTTGTTAATCTTCATCGTCTGAGATGGTTGGGCCACGTGTTACGTATGCCTGAACACCGATTACCACGACGTGCAATGCTAACCGGTGTTGGAGATGGTTGGAAGTTAGGGGCGGCCAAACCAAAACGTGGCATCAGTGCTTGAAGGCACTAACCTCTAGTCTGAGCCATGTTGGTAGATGCAGACTACTTGGTTGGGGTCCGCGTGACTGTCGTAACCAATGGTTGGAGACTCTTGGTGACATGGCTCAGAATCGATCACAATGGCGTCGGTGTATGCACTCTCCGTCTTCCCTCAGACTAAGAGATTGAAATCGCTTCATATCTTTCTTTCTACGAATTAATTCTTTCTTCGTGTATTATATCCTTATTGCAATCTTTCTTTTATATATTACCACCTCTGAATTAACTAGTTTTATGAATCCGGTGTCCATCTTGTTGTGTTAATGAGGTACGGTAACTTGGACCGATGCATATATGTGCCTGGTCCTACGTTGTAGCTGACTGACTGATAAATTTATAAAGCTACTGGATATTAATCTGGGTTATGTAAGATTTTTGGCTTCAGTTTCTGCCTGAAAATAGATTATGATTTTTGAAATGCATTTTCTTTTAATCTTAAAATCTACATTTTTCTGTCAAGTTACGTCTTTTTCATCTTGTTCTGATAAGTTTTAACTTCCGTTCTTCAGCGCAAGAGTTCACTAGCTTGAAAATATGAATATGTGGCGTTTCATTTGACGTTTAAGTAATAGTTATAGAAATTACTGAGTTTCCAAGATAACACCACGAGAGTAAAGTGGTTCTTATTATATTCAAACATACGTTGCTAGTTCTGAGGATCTGTTACGATTTCGCCATCGAATGTGGGCCAATATATGAACACAGTTATCGAGCCTTTAGTTCGAGTAGTGGAGTCACTGTAGATTGATTAAAGTACTACTTTCAACAACTAGTTTTCAGATTTATAACGTTATCCATTCTGGTTTCTGTAGCTCAACAGTACCATCACCCTCGACACAAAGTGTAGTTTAAGGCTGAATGCAGAAAGCTTGACCTATCTAGTGTTTCATTGCTTCCATTACTCAGCTTGAAGTTAAGTTTCATTAGACCGTGAAACAGCTTACAGTAAGGCATTATATATCTACAACACTATATCTTACAACGACACCAAAGGTAAACTATATCCGCATGCTTCACTCTGATTTTCGCTTCATGAAGATTGATCTTGTCTATTACAATCTTTTACACAACTACCCAGATGTGAACATCCCATCTACTTCAAACACTATATCAATAAGGGTGTGTATGTAGAAGTTCCTGGCAACCTGTCAGAGTACCCTACACTTAGGTCAAATAATACACCATACTGACGAACGGTGATTAAATACTATTTGAGCAGCTTTTAAGTCGTTGCACAGTAAAACGATATATACATCATACTCGAAACGGAAAACTTTGTCATGCAACAGATATCTACCATCATTCATTATCTTCAGATTTCTCTGGTACCATTGATCATAAAAGGTAGAACCGTCAAGTGACGTTGAGCTTAAGTACTATCTTAAAATATTACATTACTTGATGAGTCCGAGTGCTTATCAACCAATGTGGCCGGGATGCATTTGATATTCTCCATGTTTAGTTACCTCACAGCATTCAGATCTTTGTTTCCATCCTCCAACCTATTAATTTCTTCTTGTTGTGAAATATGGAGAAGTGGGATGGTGATAATTTCAAAGAGCTATGACTAACCCGACTGTTGCTTTAAACCAATTGAGTTGAAATAAGAAATTAGATTATCGAATTAACATATGACGACTTTTAAACAACTGGTAAGGAATGAAAATATTTACGATCTAAACGAAATATGGTTAGCTTAATAATAGTCAGTTTGTTGCACGATCTGTAAAAACAGAGCATTACAAAGCCCAACCAGCTTGTTCTTGAATCAGCTAGTCGACTGTTGATAGTATCAAGAATTGATCATTTCCTACAACTAAAGTCTTGACCTTCAACCAAGTTTCCTGAATTAATTCAACAAAGGCGAATGGTATTATTACCAAGGTTTGACGTGATAATTTCGAATAAATTGAGCACTGAGTAGATTGGTAATAATAGAAACAATAATGGATTTGTAAAATCCCAATGAGTAGACAATCGAATTTATGACTTTTCGAAGCTTGATGTAAGCTACTTCTTGAGAGAATGAAGAAATGAGTTAAATTAACAGAATCTTAAATAGTACGGAGGAAACAAAACAGAATATTTTAAGTGCGATCAAAACCAAAATAAATCAGATTATGTTAACGTTATGTCGTTTCACTCGAGGTAATTCTGTATAGGACCTACTTATGTTTATTTGTATGCTAGTGAGAGTGGAGAATGTGATATATATAATGTGGAAGAGTATGGTTAGGAATATTTCAATGTTTGTTAATGGTGTGAGATTCGGACATAATTAAATGGGTGGATATTTGAATAAATCATGTTGGATGGATCGTCACCAATAGTCAGAAATTCACTTTTCTACTCATTGAGATTTTGCACATATACTATTATTTCTATTATTAGACGCAAGTAGGTTTTACACTTCCGTAAGTACTGAAACTAATTAGGTACTGGAATAAAACAACCACAAGAAACCTGATCCACGTAATATAGTGCCGTAATACCGTATGGTTACCAAGTTCGACTGTGATATAACGATCGTCTTGCTGAATAACGATACAAAGATTATCAAAATTACACTTAATCAACTTAGCTACTACTGTTTGCAACTACGCTATGCATTTTCTACTCTAGTAATTCCAATTCCTTCTGCAAGATAGGAGTCTATACCTCTGCTCTCCTTTTGTGGTGATTCGTGAGTCGAAAGGTTCGTGAATTCCAGTACTTATGTGTGTGAGTGTGGTGTGACAGATGACAGCTATGTACATATACTGAAATCCAGGGTGGTTTACGCAGATCTGAACTATATCCGACCCTGTCGTGAGTCAGGCTAAGTTTATAACGAGTTGGCAAGAGCAGTGTACAGCGCTTTAACCAGGTTGGTGGAATAGGAGGTCCACCTAGAGGAGTTTTAAAACCCTGATTCCAAGCAAATGGTGTACGTGGGCTCCAGAATCTTGAGGGAACAAGTAGCGTATGAACCTATTATTGGTCATCGGCTACCATGCGACTGCATCTCCTAACGTCGCTCCACTGCATTGTGAATTAGACCTTCAGATCGAAGGCTCTGGATGTGGCCCCCTAAGGAAACCCCCTGTTTCGGTTTGGGCACCCGAGCAGTATCACAATTAAGTGGCTTGTGTGACGCATATATATTCGATGCTCTTTTATACCAATATGTGTTCAAATAAATAAACAAATAAAATTATGTTTAGGCTCCGTGAAGACAATTTAATAGGCATTACCGACTTGAAAAACCAGCCTTAGTGATTTAATCACGCTTTACCGACATCAGGTCAGTTGTTCTTACACTATGCACTATTTCCAGATATTGGGACTGGGTAAGAAAGATGGAAAAGTGGTCAGTCTGCGATGTAGCTCTATGGCATGGGAGATAGCTGCATAAAACTTTTATATGTCAATCAACCGCAATTCTCTAGTCGGGGTACTGAAGATAATGCAACTCTGTAGCTTGGAATGCTATTAAATATGGCTCAGAACAGAATCCAATGGAAATTCTACTGTGGATTTATACTCTTCACAATGATGAAAAGAGCTTCCTTAATCGAAAGAAGTCTGTCTTGGCTGCAGTTTAAACTTAACTATACATTTCACTGTCAGATTTCCATCCTCTATATGATTTTCTAACATTCTTTTCACTTATGTGGTGCATGTTCTTTGCGGTGCCAAGTACCAAAGCGGATGTTTTCATAAGATAAGTAATGCATTACACTACACCAACTAAGACTTTCATAGATGGAAAATCAGCCTGTAAACTCGGAATTCTTTTCTTTTGTCGATATGAGACACGACAACGCTGATCTAATATTTCATTAGAAACAAGGGTTGGTTTAACAAGTGTAGTTGAAATTTTTAAACAACCAAAATAGAACACTTTAGAATTATGTACTTACTTGAAGAAGTGCGAACACTCCTATTGATGCCATATGTTCACTAGTGCGTAGTGGTTGAAAACCAACAAATGGTATTTGCATCGACATTATTAAACCCAAGATGAAGAAGGTTGTGTAAGCCACGTATAGTTTCGCGCTATATCTCTGCATGATTAGAAGTACAAAAATGTGTAATGGAATGAGGTTTATAATGAACACATAACCACCCCAAGCAGATACCATGTAAAAATATGCAATAGCACAAAACGCGGCCCAAAGAACTTTTCCTGTTTTGACAGCTTTAATCCACAAGTAGTACGTAAACATTAGTGCGAAAATTGCGATTCCCTCATTATCATAACTGCCGGCGGTTGAACGACTTATATATCCGGGAGCTAATAAAAAGTGGAATAATTATATAAAACATCGATTACCGATGGCGATGAAGCAAGCAGCAAACAAACCCGCTCCTTCATTCCATATTTCCTTCGTGAAAAAATAAGTCGCAATAGCAGTCATGCCACTGAATACAGGGGCGAGGAAAACACAAACTTCACGAATGTGAACCGGAAAACTCAAAAGGTGACACATGTAGTGAATAAAACCTAAAGTTCGATGGTAAATCCCAATACTGAACAAACCTGAAGTAACCATTAAACCAGGATAGACAGTGCCTCCAACAATCCTCCCAAGCGGGTACCACGCAGTGCTGTCAAACCAATTGTAAAAGTTCTCGAAACTATTTTCGACCATCTGCTTGGTGGCTCGGTAATTAAACCAAGGATCAAACTCATGAATGACACTTTCAAAACGTATAACTGAGAAAAGACGTATAATAAATCCAACAACCCATGCCAGCAGCAGAATACAGAATGTTACAAGCCCCGTACGCCCATTAGTTGAGACCGAAGAAAATCCACCAACAGCAAGACCAAGCATTGATGACGAACTCGTAAGTCGCGGGTTGACGCGAACCTTCAAGAGATGACACGTATGAGACAACTCATTTCTGCTCAAACCTCAATCCACAGTTAACAAAATTTCGAAAAAAATATTTTCCCATTAATTGTAGATGATATTTAGATAGACATAACAATCATACAAATTTTTTGTCTAGTTGTGATCGTACGAGGGGCCTGGAAGAACAAACAGTCGTGAATGGAATTACAAACCATCAAACTTTATAATGTACAGTAACACTGGCAACACGATAAGATAGAAACGACTGATTTGACCCATTCTATTGATTAGGTAGATGCAGTTAACTGAAAGTTAGTTGAGCTGATAATTTATACGCCTTTCAGTGGGAGATTAACTGATCGAACTGCTCACCACAGCACAAAGAGACCAATGGTTTCTACATGTGCTGTTCGTCACATGAAAACACATACATTCTTAATGTTGACGGTTCAACAATGTAAACAGTTCACAAGAGCATTTATTTAGGATCCTTAATGATTGTCACTAAAGTATATTCACTCAGCCACTGTACTATACACGTTATGATGGGTAGTTACAAAACTCGTGATGCATAGGTGATCCATCTGAAAACATGCTGTTGGATGTAAAAAGATCTATAGATATTAAGCAAATATGTAAAGGGCTTTGGAATGAAGATTAGATAATCTTTCAGGGCACTGGAAAAAGACATCAACTGTCAGTTAAAAATCAGTCAGCCAATAGCTTCACAGCATCACCCACTTCTTTTTTTGGATATCCGGAACCCATAAACAAGGTGTTAGCTCTGTGATATCTAAAAAGCGTCACACCAGAAAATCAGCATTTTGAGCGAGACACACGCCTTGGAAGCAGTTACCTGCCGATGAATTCCTTGAATTATTCCCTGTACGGCCTCACCTTTAGCAGGGCTATAATCAGAATAGCTCATTATTCATCTGGTCATCAGTCATAATCTGTTTGTAAATTGTAAATTTATACAGTTATTGCGAAAATGATAAACAAACACATATTGAATAAAAGCTGGGACACAACAAAATGAATCACTGACGAGAGTTAGTGATCCGTATACAACTGGTGCAATTTCACTATCAGTAGTTCGATAAAAAGGATCGATTTAATAGACGGTCTGGGATCAACTGAGTCTTAAGTGACTAACTTCTGACTTAAATATTATTATTTGGTTTTTTCCCTCATATATTAAGGTTAACAATATGAATCAATTAGCATAGGTGGGCATTAGCACTTCGATGAGTCTTGGTACTAATACGTCTAACATGTCTTTCTATCCGTTACTATAACTTATTACACTTCAACTGTGACACCAGTGAGAATGAACGGATCGCGAGTAAGCACTTTAAGATTAGTTTATGTACAGAAAACACGGGTATTTATAGATCTAACTTGGGTTTTGGACATTTCTGGAACCAGGTTTCTGCAAAGCTTCTATTCAGCAATGATCTGATAAAATATTCTGTAACTTTCTCAAGATTTTGAAGACTATGTCAAAAGACATTTTGAACACCTTCAACATGCTTGTCTTCCCTCAGTGATTTGTGCAAAAGTTTCTATTTGTTATAGTACCAATATGCGGCACCACCGCTGATTCCTCAAAAAGGTATTGTCACGACTGAAATTTCAGCATTTTTTCTGAACGTAAACCTAATGATTTATAGTTTGTACAATCAGACTGGACTACTTCCTTTTGTATAGTATATAAATCTCTTTTTGAGTCACTTGTAAGAAGAGATATCAAAACACAGACGTGTTACTACCGCACTCAAGGTAATGAGTAATTATCACTTTCCACCTTTATGGTACTGGTGAACGTCACAGACACTGACCTCAGTCGACCCACGTTTTTCAAATCTATGACTCAAACGAGCTTTGTAGGTCCTAATAATAATATATTTCTGCATGGGCAGGTACACGCCATTTTTACAGGCATCATCTACAAATTACAACATTTGTTGGCGCATAGCATGCTTCCAACTTGTTAAGTGTATAGTTGTCATAAAGTAAACTCGTAGAGCGCTTGCTGTAGCTCATGACCTTGAGGAGACGCGTACGTCAAGTTTGTTCTAGACTTCAGAAGTTCCACAGATGTGCTTTCGGAGCAAGATGCTGAAGAAAGAAAAGAGAGAAACAGAAGAGCAGCAAGGCACTCCGATATGAACGCGGATGATGATCAGATCCTTTTAAGCTAAAAGCGGTCATGTAACGCTTTAAAAACATTCTGTTGTTATTGTCTGGAAGGCTGCAATGGAGATCTGATTAGTCTTTTAGTTTGGTGATAACTAGAGAGTTATCACGAACCTTGATCCGCCCTGACTCTAAAACATGAACTCGCCGTTTTATTCTGAATAATCACTTTTCTTCTGTCTTAAAGAATGCAAAACGCCTAAGTAGACGAACAGTAAGGGAAAAGAGAAGATGTATAACCTGTTCAAGCGCGACCAAGGGACGAAGCTTGTGAAAGTGAAAACCAACTGCAAACTATATGTTGACGGATTCTCTTTTTCTCGTATTTAGTGGACTGAAAAATGGTTGCTTGTGCGCAGGTTTTTAACGCACAAGATATATTGTTCCCAACGAAAATTCTCGGAAAAGTACATATACCTGATTGGAAATCAGTCATTCAGCTCACTGTTGGTGTAGCGAAGCCAAATGCTCAAGTGGCACATTGACTGAGGTATGATGCTCCGAAAAATCATGACAAAAACAAAGAAAACCGAAGAAATTACAAGTGAACCCAAAAAATAAAACTCAAACGTTTTCCACCACGACACTTTAGTCTGATTTGTCCGTTGACTAACCCTGTTGCATGTGGCCTACCAATGGACGAACATTATTACCCTATTATACTGAAATGACTCGCGATTTTTGTTCATTTCGATAAGCCACGCAATACTGGCCGGCATGTTGGTAAGTTTCGTTTAATGACTACAATTCCTTTAGTTACTGTACTAATTTATTTGTGTTTACGTTTAGAAACAGATATAGTCTAAAGCCAAGTTGTCCTTGCTCTGGCTATAGCTTTTACATGGACTATGTGGTCGCCAGTATCGCGTTTACAGTTCTAGTAGAATATCTGTAGGACAAATTAAATCCTACAATATGAATCAATATTTTAGGTCATAAGTCAGTAAACTAGAAGTGTTTCCATTATTGATTTCGGCCAGTGCTTTAATGTGCTTGCAAGAACCCTATTGAATAGCCTTCGTAATAGCTGGACAACTAAGCACAATACATTTTTCTCCGTTGCTACGTTTGATTACTTAAAAGAGTATAATGTGTGACATTTATGGTGAGACAAAATACATATATACGAAAATAATAACAATGATTGTGAAGGTGTAGGTAAATATAATGAGTTCATCATTGAGGACAAAATGTGAAAAATTTCACAGAATGATACTTGTTAGCGGTAAAGTTCTGGATGTCTGTAAGGTTCAGAATAATTCCACAAGTTAGAGTATAAGGAAATTCAGGACCATATTACCTATTCACTTGAATCTTGTGATAGTGACTCGAACCAAATTATCCATGAGTTATCAGAAAAAGTATGTGCATCGTGTAAGTTAGGGACTTATTAGATCAGCTAAAAGGTTTCAAGGAAGAAGCACGTACATTTCTTCGAACCATAGTCGGTAAGACATGCATATTTGTAGTGGCATTGGACAATAGCCACACAATCCACAAAGCTGTGAACACGAGACTACTCAGAAAATAGATATTCAATATTTAACTCGGGGAAATACCCAACAATGGAGAAGGCGCGAAGAATGAATTGAATGGACTGGAGTTGATCGAGTGGCATGGCTCGGCCATGCAGGCGTGGTCTCTATTCATATTAAATATATTGTTCCTTCTCTAACCTAAGCTGGTTTTTGATCATGTATTGGTAATTGATACGATACAGTGAGTTGGCGTAGTCGATGGTGTGACTTCCACGTAAGATCTTATAGATTAGGCAGTTATATCATGACGAATCTACAAATTTAGGATTAGGTCTATTATTAGAGCAGTACTAATATCGTAGTAGACCATAGTTATACATTGGTAAGCCCGACTAGAAAAACGCAACCTATTATTATTAATCCTTATTTCCACTTCAACTTTCTCGATCGATTTTATATTTATGTTAACACTGTATTCTAATAGTCCTCTGATTAATGCTCACATGCATTATCGTAATGTTATATTGATTAGTCCTCATGACAAACTAGCTCAATCGATAATAAAAACTGGTAGTCTATATTAACTAATTAGCTTTGATGATTTGTTAACAAGCTGTAATAGCATTTACATGCTTCAGCGACATAGTCTTGTTTAAACATCAAGCTCTAGCAAATATGACCTGTAAATAGCGTAAATATACATTGACTAACAATGCGATCAAGGACTTAATAGTTATCTGGATCTAATATTCAGTGTTCCTTATCTTATTACCTCATCCTGTTTTAAACTATACACTATCCTGTAATATCTTTTCTTCCGACCACTGCCTGCCTAATTTCATATTCTCGAGTTCCATTGCCAAACAACGAGGATGACTACTCCAAAAACATACGGTGAGTTCCAGCTATAAGTTTTCTGCAATCATAAGTTCATTTTAGATGGCACACACACAATTATCTGGATTCTTTCGATTGTTCTGATCAGAGCGAGTCCCAAAGACCTCAACAGCATCAAGCACCCTGGAAGTGATTGCCATACTGTATGTTTTATTCTGGATGCTTTTGGATCATTACTACTCCTCACGAATGGCGTTATATATGTCGTCCACTGAATAATCCAATTTTCAAAAATAATCCAGGCGAGTTCAACTATTTTACTGGATGATTTTTTTTTGTACTTAACATGTATATGTTTTTCAGTTGCTTTTGCCACTTATTTGTAAGTGTCCCTAGGCTAAATGTCGTAACTTCTCATGGAATGTTTATAACGCGTTACATTCCTGCCTCAAGTTTCATAAGCAGTCTTGACTTTAAAATTACTTTTCCTGGTCATGTTCATTATTTTTAAATTTTTATATACGTCAACAACCTGCATGTTAACATGGCCCGTACATACATTACACTATATCTTCATATCTTTTGAATTTAGAAATCATCTGAATCGCCTATAACATTTATCGATAAACCCATCATAGTCGTTGTTGCTAATCGTATTTGGGTTTATGGATTGGTTTATCATATTAGCAGCCTAAAATGCGAACATAGTT